TTTGCCAACCTGCTGTAATACACATCAAATGCCTATCAACAGAGACAGCAAACTCTAGATTTATGAGAATGAGTAAAATTAAACATGATGATGAATCAACAGTAAGACATGCCCTTCTCCAAATGTTGTTTATGGGTTTAACTCAATTTGGAGAGAAGGAGATTGCAAAGGCCATTTTTCAGCTGCAATATCATTAGTGCAACATGACAGCAATTACACAGGATGCTTAATCCATAACGGTGGCGCAGACGGGAAACAGCACTGATAGAGAGCCAAAGTGCTGCTGTGTCACGTTAGTCACAAGCTTTCTGCTGTCCAAAGTCAACACACAGGAGAGTAACTAACTATAAGCAGTGATGCTACTAATGTAACTACAAATTTTTTTTGGTTTTTTTAGTACTGTGAATACTTTTTCCAACAGGTAGAAAAGCGGTGTGACAGAACACTACATTACTGTATTTTTTGTCACATTTTATTTTATAGCAGAGCAGGCTGAGCCAAATATCAGACATGCTCTGCCCTTTTTGTCATATATAATAAGTTTGTTTGCAGAGTTCATATAAATAAACAATTCAATATCAAATAAAATTTACCAATCAAAAAAAAAAGAAAAAAAGATCAGTGATTTATTTTCTCCCCTGCATATTTTTGAAGTAGTATTTTTGAATTAGTATTATAAATGAGCTTTCTTGGATATTTAGAATCTAACTTGAGCTTAAGTTCAATTTAATGCAAAAAAAGTATCATCTGACAGTTTATAAACTGCTTAAAATTCTGAGTAGCTTTAAAGATTTAAAGTGGCTTCTCCAACACTGAATAATAATAAGTTTCACTCTTCTCATATTTCTTCATAGCTGCACAAAACTGACACGGTTCCTGGCTTCCTCGCTCTTGCCCTTGCAGGTTCGACAACATCAGTATCCCAAGCTGCATTACAAGCCATGTGGCCTTCTCAAATATTTATAATGTCACTTGCCCCCCTCAACTCAAGGGATCACAACATACACACACACACACACACACACACACACACACACACACACAAGAACAAAGGAACCTGTCTCCTCAAAGGTCCCCCCTCAAAGGACATGGATCGCATTTCATGGAGAGACCTTCCATTGTAATTTCATAGTTGTTCTTAAAAACACAAATAAATAAATAAAAAGGCTTGACATTTCTATATTTATATCTCTTTAATTGATTCTCTCCACACACATTCCCTCAGGGTACGTTAATCAGGACAGTTGATCAGGCAGAACTGCGAAACACAGCCAAGCAGTGACGCGTGCTGGGCCTCGGCTGACTGAGAGAGATGGAGACCAGCGTTATCTCATTCCCCAGTTAGTCCTTCTGTTCTCGGGAATGACATGATAAGGCTTTATTGACCACTCTGCTTTCAGCTTAGCATGGTGGAGAGGCCGTGGACTAAAGACAGTCAAAGGATATGCATGTAATGTTGTTTTTTACGATTCACCGCAAATATACTAAAATATTATATTTTGTCATATTCTCTTGTGTCCTTCGTTTTGTCCTCTAAATGCTATAATGTCATTGAAAGACATACATGATGAGATTTCACAGCTGAATTTCCATACTCTGACTGCCATGTTAGATTATGTGCATTTAATATTTGAACTTGCTAAAAACACAAAATTGTGTGTCTGTTTTCTGTGTAGGTCTAAAACGCTGCTACACATGTGATGTCTGCAGTGTCACACTGAATTCAGTGGCACAGTATCATGCACACCTGCAGGGCTCCAAGCACCAAAACAAGTAAGTGCCAACATGCACCTCGTGCAAGAAAACGGCTTGTGTTGTGGAGGTTGTTTTTTTATTTAATTCATGCAAAATGTGTTTGCTCTTTGTATTAATTGTTTAATATCCGTAAAATAAAGTTTAATGAATTTCAATTAAATGTACATTTATAAGTTAATCCATACAAAAAGTATAGAAATTTGTAAATAATTGTATGAAATAGCAAAAATTAAGGAATTGTGTGAAAACAATGGACTCTATGCAAAGTCTCTTCCACATAGCCTTATTGTCACCACAACATCCAGTGCAGAGAACTGCATAGAAATTGTGAGAACACTAAGCTCAAAATTATACCTTGAGGAAAATGTTGCATAACATATCATGACACAGCAATGTAGATACAATCCACCTCCAAGTGGCTGACGGTATTTAAAGCTTCTAGAACTCATTACTAAAATGTTTTATTTTAATATAATGACATAAAATGGTATGTTTACTCTAGTTAAAAAATATATCCATAATATAGAGTTTTGTAATATAATTAGTTTATTAGTAATTAGTAATTAGTAGAAAGAGCTTCCTACTATGACAATTTGCTATTGGACAATATGTAGGAACTATGTAGGCAGTACATTGTGCATTAGGTCTATTGTGTGTTTCTTTTCCGTTCGATATCTACCAACTAAAGTGACATATTGGATTTGCAACTCATTGTACTAGGTGATAATGATAGTAATACAAATGGAGACTAAACTCAATAGTTTAGTGTACTAAACAGATTTTCTGGAAGTGGAGTTTTTATTCCCATTGATATGCTTGTAAATTGAGGCCTGTTTTTCTACTTTATCGTATGCTTGCTCACAGTCTTTCAGTCCTCTGAATTGGCAGTCTGACTGTTCGGAACCTCCCCCTTCTTCAACACTCTGCTCCAAGCGTATTTGAAGCAATTACGCCATAATTTTGTTACTGACCCCAGTTCCTCTGTTTACACACACATGCGAGTCATTAGCTGTGCAAACATTAGGAGCGCATACAAAATTGAGATTTTGGTGAGCAGACTTTGTCAGTTCTCCTTTACTTATTAAAAATCCTTCTCCATTTCTCCTCTTTAGACAAAATCAGCTGTTCTATAACTCTGTGCCCCACCCCGCCCCCCTTTAAAGTTCAGACTCCATCTACATAGCTGTCAGATGTCCAGCCCTTTTTTTTCATCTGCTGCCATCATATTGGATGTCTTCCCTGTTGTGTGGTCCAGTAGCATATGTTTTAGGGGTGTTCTGCACTCTGCCTGCTGATCCTTATCCAGGTTGTTTGTTGTGAGTGGACCACCTCAACGAGTTGACTGATTGAGACACAAATACATACTGTCACACAAACCAGAGTGGCTCTGAGAGTTCACTCCACAAGTATTTCACTATTTCATTTGATAAAAACAGTCGTCAGATGTACACAGAAACTCAAAGGTATTCACTACAACCCCCCAAAAGGAAAGTTTGGTTCAACCTGTAGAAATTATGAAGTAATAACAATAATAGCAATACACGCACACATGCACAATGAGGAAATTCAGTTCTCGCTCCTTTTGGGGGGATGGTGAAACAAATGACCCTCCGTGATAGAGTACCGATAAGTCTGCTGATAAATAGACACACTCCGTGTCTCCTCCGACAGACTAAATGAACCCTCCTGCCTCTTCCCTTCTCCATTCAATCAAGCATGCTCCTAGCCAACAAGCCAGATATGTTTCCTCTGCCAAATTGAGAACAACCTTATATTCAGTAATTCAATTAAGTTCTAAGGGATATATGCATTATCCACACTCCATTAGAGTATTTCAGTTTGGGGGAACACATTTCTCTTTCTCTTATTTGAGGGCAGTCATTGCTGATGAATGTGGTATCTCCATCTAGGATTATGACATATGATGGAGCAGGTAACAGTGAACTGTTGTCTGATATGAACATAATATGAACATTTGACTGATATGAAGTGCTCTGTATATGCAGCAACTCTGTGTCACACAAAAAGGGCTTTTGTTGTGAAGCATACTGGACAGTTTGACATTTGAATGTTAATATCCTAATCATAAGCCCCAAAAATACGCATATTTATATATATACATATTTATAGTTATACACTTCCATTCAAAGTTTTTTTTTTTTTAGAAATCTCGGATGCTGCATTTACTGTTTGATCACAAATAAAATAAAAGCAATAATGTTGTGAAACATTACAATTTAAAATAATGTTTTCTGTTTGAACAAATTGCAAAATATCATTTATTCCTGTGATGTGAAAGCTGAATTTTCAGCAGCCATTACTCCAGTCTTCAGTATCACATGATTCTTCAAAAATCATTCTTATATGCTGATTTGGTGATTTTTTTTTTTTTAATTATTAAAAAATAGGATTGTTTGATGAATAGAGAATAGCATTAATTCTGAAATAGTAAGAGCTTCTACATTATTATGAAAGACTCTGTCACTTTTTATCAATTTAATGCATCCTTGTTGAATAAAAGTATTTCTTTCAAAAAGAAGCATATACCTGTAAGGTGTGAGAACCCAGAAATTAATAGATGTGTTATTATGGCCTTTCAAAAAGTCAAGAATATTATAGTATCATTAAAGCAAATATAAAGCTTGCATAATATGATATAGTTTAATGTTGCTTTATTCATCAGGGAATCCCAAGGAAAATGGGTTTTCCATAGCCTTTGTTCTAAAAGCCATGAAACTCCACAGAAGGTTCAGAGTATACTTCTAATAATTGTTTTCTTGATTCAGGGCTCCTCTATGCTCTAAAGTTTCTGTAAGATACAAAGGTTTCAATGCTGATTACACGCACATAAGCAAGTGACCCATGACACAAGGGTTGTGTGTACATGTGATTTCCTGATTAACACAGAGAAGACAGATGATAAAGAAAGGATGCAGAGGCTATGGGATAGGGGCAGAATAAGAAAGAGGTATTCTCATTCCTCCTCTACTCCAGCATCAATAGGTCAAGCCCGGACGACAGGCTCATTACCATGGCATCACTACACTCCTGTCGCACCATCCATCAGTGTCCCTCCATCAAATAGCTTGCAAACACAGGAACAGCATGCTTACTACGGTCTTCATCCCGTTTCATGTTCTTCATAAACTGTCTCAGAACTAACAAAATTCTGCTGGAGAATATTTGTTATTTTACAGTCAAAAATATCAGCATTACCATATTGATGTTCATTCATCATAATATTTTCCACTAAGATCCTTTTTTTTTTGTATTTGGTAATGTGTAATTTCAGTAGTTGGTAACAGTACAGGCGAAATTTTGATTATCACTTCTATACCACACACAAAAATTATTGTTAAATAAAACAATCAAGTATTTTTTATAATAATACAGATTTATTTTGATTATCAGAAAGCCTGTCAGTCTCTCAGCACATGGTATCAACTGCAGAAAGATGATAAAAAAAAACATTGTCTTTGACTATATTGCAGTACCAGTTTGGTACAAAAGTATGGGTACATTTAACTTGTCACACAGCCACTTTTTCATCCAAAACCTGTCATTATTCATATATATTGTACATGTTTGACTCAACAAGTTATCTAGAAATACTCCCACACGTGGTGACTACAAAGCTCAGTTTACTAGCCATCACAAATGACAACTTAAAGTCTATGAAAGTGACTATAAAATGCATCAGGGATCTCGTCTGTCTCCCCATTGTTTTTCAGCTGATGTAATTAAAGGTGTTGTTCAGTACATTAAACTGAACAGCACACAGTAAGATGCCTGCCTTATAACTTCTCATCACTGTCCCCCTCCCCCCGCCATCATCTTCCCCAACTGCTGCTTTTAACCCTGCTGATTAATGAAATCCTTTCATCCTGGTCCCTCTCCTGTCCATCATCTTATTCCCCCTACAATTCTCCTGCTCAGCAACCTTACAGCCAGGAGGATATGTCTCCACGCAGCCACCTGACAGCTCTTTGATTCCAGTCTCATCCTGTCTGCAACAAGCTTTTTGCCTTCAATCTCGCTGGCCCCATTTTCCAAACACCATCTTTGTTGATTTGTTTGTCTCACACAAGAAGTAAGGTCCCTAGGGTAATCTTGATTTTTCGGTATAAAATAAACATGTCTACACTCCAAGTGGTGATAAAACATGAAGTATTGATTTTGTTACAGTCTGAACAAATGGCCTAAGACAGTCTTCAAAAAAATTTGTTTGCTTTTGGCATCATATTGTGATGAAACAAGATAAAAACAGAGACAGATGCAGAGCATGGAGTTTTTTTATTTTTAAGGTGAACAATGTTTCAGTGTCACACTGTGCTTATGTCCCATTATCGTCTCACAGTAATATTTTTTTTTCTTAAATTTACAAAAGTTTGCACCCCAGTTGCATTTACATGATTTATATCATGTCAAATGAGTATTGTCTTTTGAGAAATTGAGATTGATTTGATGCATTTAAAAATGATCTTCTCCACTTAACTAAGATGCGCTACTTGCCTTGACAAATTACAATGTGGAGAAGACGACTGTTTAATAGCGACTATGTTTGACGCTCCTGGTTCAACTGTAAATTAAAAGGATAATATAGCATTTACTCACCCTCATGTCATGCCAAGTCTGTATGACAGAAATTCCTTTTGAGTGAACTGTTTCATCCCATCCATTCTGCAAACCGCTTGTCCTTTGTAGGATCACAGGGCTGTTAGAGCCTATTCAACCTTGCTTTAATATTTATTGATTTGACAGCAGTTTTATTCATAGCAACTGAAAGTGTATCTATGTGTACATTTCATCAGTACGCCTATGTGTGTTCCCTCAAATCCATGACTTTGGTGTTGATCGTGCCATTATCAACCAGTTGACCTACACAAACATGACTTTAAATGTGACATTGGAAAAGCTGCTGAGGCATTTTGGATGACTCATTCCTTAAACATTGCATTTCATCTTGAAAAACCACCCTGGGTTTGTATAGACTTGTTTGTTTTATACAGACATAGTTG